GCACATTGAAACCCGTTTGCTGTCAGAACAATACGTGATTTATGAGTCTGTGTTTTGCTAAGTGTGTGTGTGTGTGTGTGTGTGTGTGTTGTTGTGTTTAGGTGATCTGCCATGTGTGCCCCTTTGACAGATGCCGGATGAGGCCATCAGCTCTAACCAGCAGACTGAGCAGAATAATGTCGAACCAGACACATCGCACAGACATAACACCAGTCCAACAACAAACACACACACACACACACACACACACACACACACACACACACATGCTAAAACCCATTTCCTGGTGTTAATCCATATTATTTAGCAAAGTTGTTCAGCTGTGGTGACATTTCTGAGCATTCAGCTGATGCTCTCATCCAGAGAGAGCTCCACTGAGCTGTTATGGAAATTCATTCTGTGTTACATAACAGCATGTTAACCAGAGTCCTTCGGCTTCTTCACCGTGACGGGGTTATCACCTCATGATTTTCACGTGCACAGCATTCACTGCAATGGCATCTTTTGCTTTGAGCATTATTTTGGGTGCAGCAGATTACATCAAATTTCTGTCAGTGCCAAAAAAAGGAAAGAAAAAAAATCTAAAGGGCACATTTGTGTTTTTTTTTGAAGGATGGAAAAGGTCAGAGTGGCCATTATTTTAGATGATAGAATACAGAAGGCGCTATTTGTTGCTTTCCCGTTAAAGGAATAGCTTGACATTTTGTGGAATACGGGAGTTAGATGAGAAGATTGATACCTCTCCCATGTATCATGGTAAATATGAAGCTACAGCCAGCAGCTGGTTAGCTTAGTTTAGCATAAAAGATGAGGGGAAACGGCTAACCTGGCTCTGTCTGGAGGCAACAAAAATCGGACTACCAGCACCTATAAAGCCCACTGAGGGACGCGTTGTCTCATTTAGCGTAACAACCAGAGATGGGCAAAGATACATCAAAATGTATTTTGATACAAAATACAAAATATCCCTCAAATAAATGTATCAAAATAAAATACAAAATACTGGTGCCAGAAAATGTAACAAAATACAATACATGTATTTTGTATTTAAAATATAGGAAATACTTTTTTCTGGATTTTCCGTTTTCTCACAATTTGGTATAGCAGAGCATTCAGGTTTGGGCTATATAATATAATATAATTATATATAATGTACACAAAGCTCTGGTGAAGCCCACAAAAAGGAAGAACAGTCACAGAATGTCAGTGTAACGAAGGACATCTGTGCTTGTTGATGGTCCTTCTTGAACATCATCTTGCTGAGACATGTTGTTCACCTGGCCAACTGTAGAATGTATGAAATAACAAAACTAAGAATACTTTCATAATATTCCTTTTAAATAAAATAAATTGGATATTTAAAGTTTTTTTGTTTTTTTGAACAAATAGCCAGGCTATGACAGTAGATGTCCAACTGTGAACTATATTATCTGCCAGTAATTGATATGGCATTATGACATTCACATTGAGAAGATACATCATAACTTGTAATACAGTGCAAGATTAGATGGTCAGACGTCTCTTGATAAGGTTATCATGAACATACAAGCTCCCAATCTCCCTCTTCCTATATAGCTAGCTACTAACTGATAAGTTAACTTGTTAAACACTGGCTATGCACTAGCCTAGACAGCATGCTAGTGTCATTAGCATGTTAGCATCGAGCTTGATATTACAACCATCACCATGTATATACAATAGGCTATGTAGCCAGACCCAGACATAAATTATACATCAAGCTAGTTGACATCTGTCACACTCAGATAAAATATTTAACTTGACAGACAATCCGCTGAACTTGAAGATCTGAAGACTGAACTCGGGAACTGTTTTTTGATTTGTGGAGAAAGTATTTTGAGTATTTAAAATACAAAATTACTCCACTCTAAAGTATTTTGTTACAAATTACGTTCGATTTTTATCGGCCCTATCAAATACAAATTACAAAATACTCAAAAGTAATTGAAATACGTATTTCAAATACAAGTAATAGAAATACTGCCCATCTCTGGTAACAATGTCTCGTTGTTGTTCTACAGGGTGCCGGACTATTTGTTGGCCGGATGCACTGGGAACTTTTTATAATAGGCTTTCCATTTTATTCCTCACAATCGCCAAATTGCTAAAGTCTGTTTTGGTTCTCTTTGGTCAGGCAAACCAGGCTAATCCAAGCACTCTTTAAGAGTTTTCCAGTGAATACTATGCGACCCACGGCTGACTGCTTTGGCTCAAAATCTCTGCAGATTGCTGCTGCCAAGGCTTTTTCCCACACAGATAGCAAGTTATTAACGGTAGCCGTATTCCTGGAATTTACCCCACTGTACAGAACGGTGCGGCTAATCCTCACAAAAGGAAAATAGAGCGGGGAAAAACACAGGGAGAGAAAGGGGTTGGGGAAAGGTGAGGGTGTGTTGCACAGTTGCAGAGGTGAAGAAGCGAAGAGGAGGGAGAGAGAGGAAGGAATCTAGTGACGCGAGAAAGAGAGCAGAGAAGAAAGACGGCATCATGAAAAATTGAAACACTGGAAGAAGATGAGTGCGGGAGTAACAGTGGTGTTTTCATTCTGCCAAATTCACAAACAAGCAGGTTGGTTTCGGATCATTTTCATGGGAAGGTTAGTTCATTCAATTATTGAGTTACATTCTGCATCTGAATGTCTTAAGCGACACGGATTAACTTCAAATAGCTGGACACGCAACCGCAACCGCCAGATTACACGTGTGGTTTGTGGACAATGAGTCACAGTTGGGTTTAAACAACTCTCTTCATCCTGTGTTGTGGTGAGCTTTCACTCTCTATGTGACGAACGTACTTTTCAGATCCAACAAGTCAAACAAACACAGGACTTGCAATCAGGAGACCGGTGTCGATACCGGGGTCCCAAAGTGTTGTGTGTTTTTTTTTTTTAAGTTAAGTTAATCGGTGTCTCAAAGTAGTACTTTTTTTTTTTAAGTTAGTGAGGTTTGTGAAATGTTTTCCTGTTTCGTTGTTGCTGAATTTTTTTTTGATTATTGTATATTTAACTATATACAAAAGACAATACATAAACAGGACAACAAAAGAACGACATGAACAGTGAATACAGGCCAGTTAAAAACATAAAGTCAGGAGATGGGAGAACAGAGTTATGTTTGTGTGTGTGTGTGTGTGTCTGAGCTATGAGAACATAAAAGATAAAAGTACATACAAGAACAAATACCATAAGTCATATCATTGTTTTAATAGACTACTAATAACACTATAACAATAACACAATAATAATAATAATAAAGTCAGGGGGATGACTTTCCTAAACCTAACTAAGTGGTTTTGTTACCTGAACCTAACTGTGGCCGTCACTGTAAAATGTCTCGTGAAAAGCCAAGAATTCGCAAGAATGACACGCTGCAATGTCTTGCTATTTAGACGCCTTCGCATGAGATCTGGTTGGGAAGTGAGACCATTCATTTAACGTCACAATACACTGACTACAGCCATGCCTACTGGAGGTCTTATTTAAATATGGATAGGAACCATAGACTAATTGTAGAGTTCTATGTGAGGGTAGAGGGAGGGTTGAGTTTATTAAGGTGATGAATGATGTTCTGAGCATGGAGGAGAGCGCTGACAGCACAGAAAGGGTTAAGACAGGATACAGCAGGTTATCATCCAGAGGGCAAAGCCCACGGGTGTTGCGTAACCACATTCACAACAAAACCCGTCTGGTGGAATGTGAACTGCATCCTGATCTGGTGATGCTGCGAAGTCTCCTGTGTATTTCTGACTTGCAAACACACACACACACACACACACACACACACACACACACACACACACACA